TTCTTCTTCTTCTTCTTTTTTTTCTTCTTCTTCTTATTCTTCTTCTTCTTCTTCTTCTTTTTTTCTTCTTCTTCTTCTTCTTCTCTTCTTCTTCTTCTTCTTCTTTTCTCTTCTTCTTCTTCTTCTTCTTCTTCTTCTTCTTCTTCTTCTTATTCTTCTTCTTCTTTTTCTTCTTCATCTTTTTCTTCTTCTTCTTCTTTCTTCTTCTCTTCTTCTTCTCTTCTTCTTCTTCTTCTTCTTCTTCTTCTTCTTCTTCTTCTTCTTCTTCTTCTTCTCTTCTTCTTCTTCTGCTTCTCCATCTTCTTCTTCTCCAATCTTCTTCTTCTCCGACTTCTTATCTTTCTTCTTCTTCTTCTTCTTTTTCTTTTCTTTTTCTTCTTCTTCTTCTTCTTCTTCTTCTTCTTCTTCTTCTTCTTCTTCTTCTTCTTCTCTTCTTCTTCTTCCTTCTTCTTCTTCTTCTTCTTCTTCTTCTTCTTCTTCTTCTTTTTCTTCTTCTTCTTCTTCTTCTTTGGTTAGCTTGAAATAGATTGTCTATATCTGTAGTGTTGTCTCTAGTATGAACTTCAATGTCTGTTGTTATTCACTCAGTGACCCGTAAAGTTTGACTTGCACCGATGTTTCTCTTGGCACAAAGTTTTGCCTTGGTATGCTGTATTTGGGACAGTCTTGGAGGACGCGACCTGTTGTCTCATGTGCTAATACGCATGTTCACATGGCTGATTTGCCCTGCGAAGTCGATTATTTCCTGTTCTAAGGCGTAGTATAACGACTTGATCTGGTCTGTCCATTATATGGTAATCGTCTTGTGCCGGTTTTGTTGTCCTTCTGATTGTTTTGATTATTCTCTTTTTCTATTGATAAGAGACTGGTACGTCAGGTTGTTCTTCATTTGCACCTTCCTTAGCTAGTTTATCAGCTCCTTCATTTCCGGGAACTCCACAGTGGGGTGGTATCCATTGCATAGCTACCTTACACCGGTTGCTCAATTCCGAGAATAGTTTCCGTTCACTCCGATCTCATAGTGAGCGATAAACACCCTATGACGCAAAGTGCAACGCATCGGATGAGAATCCACCAGGTCAAGTCCCAGAAACGTCGCTCAACCGTCAGGTTATATTAGGGCCAACGACGGTTACAAAGTAAGTTCACACGGACTAGGACTGTGTTGAGATACTGAGTAAATTGTATATCTTTTGAATTTTACTTGCAAAGGCATTATATTGGCTTCCTTTTTATTCACTACAGTGTATTTAAAAAGAAGACCCAAAAACTGAACAATGGCCAATGCATATTACAAACATTTACTGAAGCATATCCCCAACGTCACTCCGCTTACGAGAGCGCCAAACGCTCGAAATATGCGCCTGGTTTCAGTCCACACCTTGTGTGAGTCTGGGATTTGCGTGGCTAGACGCCCGTCTGTGGATTGGAGGGTCGTGCGTTCGGGTCCTGATATCGCCGGATTTTTTTTTAAAAAGGTCGACCCAGCCTTGAGTGGATACCAGGTGCCTTCCTTGGAAGTAAATGCGGCCGGAGTGATGCTGACCACATTACTCATCAGTTGCCGATTGGTATATAAAATAGAGCTCTAGGTCAGTATACCCAATGCGCCTAATGGCGTGGAAAGGGTCCTTTACTCCACTTCAAGTTTGAGTCTGGCGATCACCACTTGACCACTTTCCAAGAGTTAGTAATAAACATCATCTTTATGGTAGCCTTGATGCTCATGTAACCACTTATTTTGTTCTGGTTACTTCTTCACAACCCATTAGTTTTATTATAGGCAAGGAAATAACATATTTTCCCCTGCTGCTTTTCTCATCACATGTCCAGAGAACTTGGTCTCCTTCTCATTGTTGTATATAATGTTCTACTTTTATAGGCCATTGTCAAGCATTCAATGTTGGTTATTCTGGCAGTCCAGGGTATTCTCAACATTCTTCTCAAGAACCACATCTCAGTAGCCTTCAAATTCTTCTTAATTTGTTTGCTCACATTCCAAGATTCACATCCATACAACAGAACAGGATCGATATAACATTTAAATACTCTTTTTTTTTCCCTGATCTTTAATGAGTCTCGTAGATAGCTGAAATATTTCTGTGAAATTTCAATGAACAAAGAAATCGTCAAGTTTCAGGGAATACATTTAAAGGAAATAAACTGGACGCTGCATTTATAAACAGTGTTGCTTTGAATAAAACAACTCAAAAGCTGATACGATTATAAATAAATTTAACGATGCGTTAAAGTTAAACAGCAACGTTAAGTAATAGAAAACTATACCTAAAGTGATTACACAAGAGCAGATAGAAAGATAAGCTTATATAATGAAGGTGCTAAAAACTGATATGGTTACAAAAAAATTTAACGATGCGTTAAAGTTTAACAGCAACGTTAAGTAACAGAAAACTTTACCTGAAGATACTACAATAGATCCGATAGAAAAGGAAGCTTATTTACTGAAGATGCTTTAGTTGCAACGTTCATTATGTCCAGTGAGGTTGCATTGATACTAAATCACCGCCCCGTTCACATGTTTTCTCTACGTTTGAAGAACCACATAACAAATTATCTTTACATATTTCCATATGCGCCCTAGGGAGCTGCGTGGTCTCCAGGTATGGTGTCCACCTGGATTGCTAGAGGTCCCGGGTTCAAACCCCGGTAAGGGCTATGATTTTTTTCTGTTTACGTGGACTTCTAGTATTTCCCATGGTCTCTGGGAAGTGAGATCGGACGCTTGTGAGTTTTGTTGCGCACGTAAATAATTCCATGGCAGTTGGAAATCGAAAGAGTAGCCTAACGGCCCTGCCTGGGCAAAATCTAAAGTTAAAAATCTACCCAAAATATGCCAGGATCCTCACCGGTGATACAGAGGTCATGCACTGTGCTGAGTTACTTCGGACTGAGCTAGAAGTAGAACGGAGTACTAATGGGTTACTACCCGTGTGCTATGATGCTGATCCGATGTTCAAACTTCAAACGTTACATGCCCTACCAACACACGTAGATCTAGTTTTCACACTTGGAGTCAAGGTTTCCGAATTTATGGATTTTTAAAGCATCGATATCAGAGTAGACGCTGTTCTAGAAAAAAGCTTCCATGTTGATTGAAGATGCAGAGTCTTTTTACTTACACAACAGCCAAAAAATGCTGAGGTTGGTTCTGCAACGTCCTGTAAAGGATATACAACTGACTAAGGGCTGTATCAAATACTGTAACAAGCAAGCGTGTACACAATAAACACTTAAGCGCCCCTAGTAGAGTAGTGTCCTATCAGCTTCCGTTATCTTGGGCACGTTATAACAGATAATGGCAAACTGGAATAGAGATCAAATATTAAACAGCACTGGCTGAACGAGTCATGACAACGATGCGCAAATTACCGTTAACTATCCCTGTGTGAAACTAAGGTTAGTTGCGTATCCTTTACAGGACGTTGCGGAACCAACCCCAGCAGCCCCTGGCTGTGGTGTGGTTTCTCTAGGCAAATTTACGTCTAAAGCATCGATATCAGAGTAGACGCTGTTCTAGAAAAAAGCTTCCATGTTGATTGAAGATGTAGAGTCTTTTTACTTCCTAGACATTTTTAAGGTACGCAAGTTTTGAGGCACATTCGACCTGGGAGCATGGTCACTTAAAAACTAACCGCAATTTCCATGAAAATTCATGATCATTTTACTAGTTGATTAACGAATTTAGATTCCTAATATATCAATTGTGATTAGTGCTTTAATAAATGCTTTTTGAGCCTACTGGGCCATCATCATCAAAATCGTCATTATCTTCATCACAGTTATCATCATTATAGCAGCGTTATCGTTGTCATCAAGCGCCATCATCGCACTAAATGTCAACCGTTAAGAAGTCTCAACCACTCTGTGTCATACATCGTGCAAATTATCTCTTAATGGTGTCACCCCACATGCCATTGTCTTTCTCTTCCAAGTTTTTTCTTCTTCTTTTTCTTCTTCTTCTTCTTCTTTTTCTTCTTCTTCTTCTTCTTCTTCTTCTTCTTCTTCTTCTTCTTCTTCTTCTTCTTCTTCTTCTTCTTCTTCTTCTTCTTCTCCTGCTCCTCCTCCTTATCTTTCTTCTTCTTCTTCTTCTTCTTTTTCTTCTTCTTCTTCTTCTTCTTCTTCTTCTTCTTCTTCTTCTTCTTCTTCTTCTTCTTCTTCTTCTTCTTCTTCTTCTTCTTCTTTTTATTCTTCTTCTTTTCTTCTTCTTCTTCTTCTTCTTCTTCTTCTTCTTCTTCTTTTTTACTTCTTCTTCTTCTTCTTCTTTTCTTTTTCTTCTTCTTCTTTTTCTTTTTTCTTCTCCTTATTTTTTCTTCTTCTTCTTCTTCTTCTTCTTCTTCTTCTTCTTCTTCTTCTTCTTCTTCTTCTTCTTCTTCTTCTTCTTCTTCTTCTTCTTCTTCTTTGTCTTCACTCTCCTGTTCTGCCTTTCAGCCAGTGCGAACTTTGGTATGTGCTACGTAGATTGCGGTATTGACGGCCTCAGAGAGACTATCTGCTGATCGCTTGCATGGTCGACCTTTAGCTCTGTTTCCGTTGTTAATCAGTGAAAGGTCTCTCCCCTTTTTTTCTGCCAGAACAAAAACTAGTCAAAGGTCCAACTATCTTTTGGCCTGTCACAATTTGAACTATTTGCTTTTTAATGAGGAAATCTAATTAATGCAGTTAGGGCCCTAGTTTGTCATCAGTTTACAGGTCAGATCTGTTAACTTGTTCTGATTTGATCAACACAGACTATCAATTTAAGGCTTGTTAATGTATATTTTGAAAATTAACCAATAAGCATAAAGTATGTCAGTAGCTCAAGTGAATTCACAAACCTAATGTCTGTGCAGGGTACAAGTGTGTACATACAATGAATGATTTGAATGAAATCTGGACTACTGAATGATAATGTCAAATAAATAAATAAATAAATCCACCAGGATATCCCAAGTAAATATGGCGTGAATGTTTTCTACCGTGAACATGGCGGCCATGTTCGATTACCCGAACCTGAGACTGGGCATGCGCAGAGTGGAGCCCGAGTTCTTGCCCCTGCCGTCTGCTAGTAGTGCCGCCAGATTGTTGACCAGGTCTTGCTGTTGGCGTTTGAGATCTGGGAAATAGGCAGACAATAGTCATAATGTTAGAGCTGTGAGACAGACATACAATAGACATGGGTTGAGATTTGTGAGACAGACAGAAAACAGATTTAGCGTTATAATTTTGAGACAGACATATATCAGACATGGCTTAAGATCTCTAGAACAGACATATAGCATTACGAACGAACTTTATTTTCAAAGGGTCACAACCTGAGAACGCAGGCCCGTCTAGCATTCTGCCCTTCCAAACTAGTATATATATATATATATATATATATATATATATATATATATATATATATATATATATACATATATATATATATATATATATACAATGCAATAGGGTCCAGCTGGTATACAATGTCATGGGTGCCAGCTGGTATTCAATGTCATGGGTAACAGCTGGTATACAATGTCATGGGTGCCAGCTGGTATACAATGTCATGGGTGCCAGCTGCTATACAATGTCACGGGTGCCAGCTGGTATACAATGTCATAGTGCCAGCTGCTATACAATGTCACGGGTGCCAGCTGGTATTCAATGTCATGGGTAACAGCTGGTATACAATGTCATTAGTGCCAGCTGGTATACAATGTCATAGTGCCAGCAGGTATACAATGTCATGGGTGCCAGCTGGTATACAATGTCATAGTGCCAGTTGGTATACAATGTCATGGGTGCCAGCTGGTATACAATGTCATAGTGCCAGCTGGTATACAATGTCATAGCTCCAGCTGGTATACAATGTCATAGCTCCAGCTGGTATACAATGTCATAGCTCCGTATACAATGTCATGGGTGCCAGCTGGTATACAATGTCATAGTGCCAGCTGGTATACAATGTCATAGCTCCAGCTGATACACAATGTCATAGCTCCAGCTGGTATACAATGTCATAGCTCCAGCTGGTATACAGTGCCCTGGGTGTCAGCTGGTATACAATGCCCTGGGTGCTAGCTGGTATACAATGTCATAGCTCCAGCTGGTATACAATGTCATAGCTCCAGCTGGTATACAGTGCCCTGGGTGCCAGCTGGTATACAATGCCCTGGGTGCTAGCTGGTATACAATGTCATGGCTCCAGCTGGTATTCAATGTCATAGCTCCAGCTGGTATACAGTGCCCTGGGTGCCAGCTGGTATACAATGCCCTGGGTGCTAGCTGGTACACAATGTCATAGCTCCAGCTGGTATACAATGTCATAGCTCCAGCTGGTATACAATGTCATAGCTCCAGCTGGTATACAGTGCCCTGGGTGCCAGCTGGTATACAATGCCCTGGGTGCTAGCTGGTACACAATGTCATAGCTCCAGCTGGTATACAATGTCATAGCTCCAGCTGGTATACAGTGCCATGGGTGCCAGCTGGTATACAATGCCCTGGGTGCTAGCTGGTACACAATGTCATAGCTCCAGCTGGTATACAATGTCATAGCTCCAGCTGGTATACAATGTCATAGCTCCAGCTGGTATACAATGTCATAGCTCCAGCTGGTATACAGTGCCCTGGGTGCCAGCTGGTATACAATGCCATAGCTCCAGCTCCAAACGCCCTACGGATCAATGGTAGGACAAGGAACTTCTTTCCTTTACTTCTCAACATTCATCTGGAGATTCTTCGTGTGGGTTTCCAAGATCCAGCCTGTCTGTGAACTACAACACAACGTGCTATCATTTTAGATGGCATTTAGATGGCGTTTTTAACGTTTAGATGGTAGATGTTTTTCCAGACGTTTTTCATTTGGAGTGAATTTATCAAATCTAACCTAAGAAACTGGATGAAATTTAACATCTTATATGCTATCTTGACAATAAAATTCGGCCTGATAAGAGTAGGAAAAGGCTGTTCCAATTATCAGCTCCCTGATTGGGATTTAAAAGAAACTGGAACAGCTAAAGCATACCAGAGTCATTTTGGATCTGAAGCTTCAACTTTATCATCCAAGCTAAGTTTATCCTGTGGATCTTGTGAGGCAGACTTCAATAAAAATGAGGACATGACTCTAAAGGGTAAGTCATATCAATTGCTAGTGAATTTGTGACTCTTTCCATTTGGATGTTTTTTCTAGATGTTTTCCAACGCAAAATCAGATGTTTTTAGATAATTTTTGACTCCATTTTTATTTTTTTTTGTCAAAGAAAAGTGGCAACATGCCTATTACCAATAGAGGCTGGGTCAACCTGGGAGTCAAGGTCATGAAAAGAAAACAAGTCCGTGAACCCACGACACTCTGATCCACTTCTAGCCGTCACCGCCACTGCGACTTCCAATAATAATAATAATAATAATAATAATAATAATAATAATAATAATAATAATAATAATAATAATAATAATAAAATAAATAACAACAATGATATATTTAAATTTAAAAAACAAAAATCAAACGCACGACACTTACACTGAGTGTTGGAGGGGTTGCGGGCTGTTCTGTAGAAGGCCGAATGTACCGAGTTCATCCCTTGATCTGACAAACGGTCGGACCACGATCGGAAAACTGGCACATCAAATTTCTCGTACTTGGACTCGGAGGTTTCCGGCAGGTCCCGGAAGCGCATGTGTTTGAACAACAAGCGGGAGATTCCTGGGGGGGGGGGGGGGGACAAAAGAACAATTATTCAAGAACAACATGACTGCATAGCAACAAATCAGTCACAGTTAATGTATCAACACATCTGTGCTCTGGCTGACAGTTCGACTGTCAGGAATGGGCCCTCTATGAAGAGGTGAGACATCATCAGTGTTATACTAGAGATTAAACTACTTGAGGCCACGGGCAGCTTCAGATATAAGGCCATACAAATGAAACGGGAATTCCCTTTTTTGTAAGACTGGCCACGGCCAGCTCCAGATTTATAAGGCCGTACAGCTCGAACGGTAATTCCCGTTCTTGTGCAAGAATTGAGTCCCTCTGCGTCCACAGTTTTTATCGAGAAGATGTATACGCAAATTAAACTACAGTTTCATTAATTTTCGACATATTTTTTAGAACTATACGTAATTTTTAAGGTAAATAAGTGTGCCAATTAAATATAACAATAAAGGCTTTTACAGACAAACAAAAATTCTTTTGCTACAGTCAACATGAACATAAACATCAATAACGTTTAGATGTAAACCAAAAGTTGTTCCAGCAAAAGTAAAGAAATATCAGTGCTAACTCTTTGTATCTGAGAGGGTATTGTTGCATCAGAGGAGCGGGGGGGGGGGGGGATTAAGGGGGGGGGGGGGGTGGCATTTGTACTTAATCAAATTTAGCGCATAAAAATACTGCTATGAAACATACACATATCATACATAACATAAATATAAATGATTGAAGGTTATTATTATTATTAGTAGACTACTACAACATATAATTATACTGTTATTTAATAATTAGTAAACAAGCACAATCAGTATGAAATTGATATGTGCAATACTTTTTTTCACCCAGAGTAGTTTTCTTAACAGTACTTATAGCACTACTAAATATGTATCCTCAAGGTACAAACAGCACAAACAAATTTGTCCAGTTTCATCTTGTTGGATGAAATCAATTCCTTATCATTGCGAATTTTTTGGTAACAAATATACATAGGAAGTGGATGAACAACCAGAAGTTTCCGCAAGAGTTTACAGCTAGTGTTTGCGAAGCAAAGCAAAAGCCAGTTTTCAAAAATTAACACAGACCGTAGAACTGCAAATATGCAAAAGAAGTGGATGAACTACCAGAAGTTTCCGCAAGAGTTTACATCCAGTGTTCGCGAAGCATAAGTCAAAAGGTTAAGGATTAATATTATTAGTGTACTGCTACAACATATAATTATACTGTTAGTCAACAATTAGTAAAGAGGCAAAGAGTGACCTGCTGTGAAAGGCTAGTTAGTAAATTAAATATTATTTTCATCCACTTACCTAGAGCTCCGAAATATCTTGACACAATTTATTAACAGTGTGGTTGCACCATTTATGCATAGTCAATATGAAAGCAATAGTTTTCTTCAGACACAAGATAGTTTGCACCTGACAACTGTCGATATTCTCCAGATATGGCTTCTAAATTACCAGTTTGTATTATCCCTAAAAGTAAGATTTATACATTTAAAGTAGAAAAGTAATTAACAGCCAGTTCCCAAAAATCCGAACTACTGACTAGAAACAGTGACACTGATACACACATCACAACACGACTGTCTTCTGTGAATTAAGATTAAAATTAAAATTGCTGTATATCCACTTCACAATATTCATTTGTAGATTTGTAATACGAATACGTTTAGAACACAGGACTTTGTAAGCATATTATTATGTCACACAATGCAACATGGAAACGCTCCCAGGAACCTATTTTCGAGGGGGACTCCTCCAAAATGTGCCGTGATCCAGTTGTCAGGACCAACATACAGCCGGACGTGGGCTGGCATGGTCGGTCGGTGCTTACAATAGTATTTGAGTAGTTTTATAAACAAATTGACCTACAGTTTAATCAATTTGCAACATGTGTTTTTGAATGAATTACCATTTTGAAGATAAATATTTTCTAATAGCCCACTTATTCAACTCCAAAATATTATTTCATTAAATAAAACATGTTGCAAATTAATAAAACTGTAGTTCAATTCGTGTATAAATCTATTCGGTAACAATTGTTACGACTGACCGGCCACGCCAGCCTCACAAAATGGGAATTCCCGTTTGAGCTGTATGGCCTTATATCTGGAGCTGGCCGTGATGAGCCTTTCTTCCGTTTTGTAAAAAAATGGTTTTGCACGGAATAGACTGCATACCCTGGGTGTACCAGCTGGAGCGGCGAGACAGAAAAACCATGTTGGGGGCACCCGTCTTGATTTCAGACAGAACAGCATGGGAGTTGTTAGCCTAAAAACACTTGCAGACACTCATGAGGAGATGGAAGCAATTATAGCCGTGTTCGATGCGCAATTAAGATGATCTTAAAAAAAAATGAAGAACACATCTAACATTGGTGAGTTATGAGCTGGATTATCTCCAGAGCACTCCGGAAACGTCCATAGGTGCTCAGGCCCTCCCCCCCCCCCCCCCCCCCAAAAAAATTATAATTAATTTTGCAAGTTTTACGTTAG